CTCTATGAACCAGTTCAAGATTCTATGAACCAGGTCAAGACTCTATGAACCAGGTCAAGATTCTATGAACCAGGTCAAGACTCTATGAACCAGGTGCTGGAATTGTTTCCAGCGAGCGATACCAGATCAGGTTTGGTTCTGGTTCCAGGTCCGAAAAACTCGCCCTCCAAGGTGACCAGGCTGCATATTTGGACCTCGGGCGAGGGATCTGTTCCTAGCTCCAGACGCCAGAGTACAGGGAAGGTCCCAGTGGTGCTATGTTCATGCTTGGAAAGCAAGAACCTGGCTTCAATAGCGGCCAGGTTCATACTTCATTCCCCTGAATATAACACCGGTTCCAAGGTCCAGAGCGATCGCAATTCAGGTTTGCGTTGCATCCAACTCCAAAGTACTCGTCCTCCCAGGTGACCGGCTCGCATCTTTGGACCTAGGGTGAGTGATCTGTTCCTAGGTCCAGTGTTAGAGGCAGGCAGGTCCCATAAGTGCTGTGTTCTTGCTTGGAAAGTAAGAGCCTTGCTTTAATAGCGCCCAGGTTCGAACTGTCTTCCCAGGTTGGAACATAGCACCAGTTGGGCCTGGCTGGTCCCGAGTCCTCGTACTTTGTGGCTTGGCTTCGCTCACATGCGTCACATCTGCTTCAGGATACTAGGTGGTGCCCCCCAAGCTGTCCACAGTCACTATAGATGATGCTAGCAGACGGAGCGGCCAGGCCCAGGCTTCTGGACTCTGGATCAGGAATCTGTTCCTAGGTCCAGACCAGGACGGAAGAGTACATGAATTATGTGAATATGCTGCACCCCTGGTCGATGTTCCCACTCGACATAGAGAAAATGTGTCCCAAGTTCCAGCCCGATTGCCGTAGCATCAGGCCAAAGCTTGGGCACACTGCCACACTCCCAGGCTGAGCTGCCATTCTGTTCCTAGGTGCAGCACAGGTGCTCTTAGGTCCAGCGCAGATGTTCTTAGGTGCAGCTAGGTCCAAAAGAGCAGCAGGGTGGACACTGGATAGGTGGATTAGCGGTGGGTTCACCCGACCTGCCTTGCTTCGCTTATGTTGTTGCAATAAAACTTTGGGCATAGTCCCAGTCACCCTAGTGTCAAATGAATTTGTGTGTAGTTGACACCAGATTCATAGAAAAAATCCGTGTGTCAGTCAGGACTCAGTAGTATGCCTTGTGGGAACGGACCATACCCAAGCTCTGGTGGAACCTACCCCAGTGACCTGTTCCTAGGTTGGGACTCAGTAGTATGCCTTGTGGGAACGGACCATACCCAAGCTCTGGTGGAACCTACCCCAGTGACCTGTTCCTAGGTTGGGACCTACTACGTAGCGCACAGCAGGTCCAATGAGAGGACGAGCGAGCTAACAGGACTAGACCCAAGCTCTGGTGCAGCCTAGGCCAGGGACCTGTTCCTAGGTTCAGCTCTAGGTCCAATGAGAGGACGAGCGAGCTAACAGGCCCAGACCCAAGCTCTGGTGCAGCCTAGATTTAGTACAACATGGGAAATTTGGGCCCTAAAGGGACCTGTTCCTAGGTCCAGTTCTAGGTCCAATGAGAGGACGAGCGAGCTAACAGGCCCAGACCCAAGCTCTGGTGCAGCCTAGTAGGCCAGGGACCTGTTCCTAGGTCCAGCTCTAGGTCATGGTTTACGTCCGGAGCAGGTTCCATTGGAGGTGGACGACTGAGCTTGCAGGCGTGTCACGCATTGTTGTCATTGGGTTCGGTCAATGTAGTCCTGGTCTGTTAATGTGGACCTAGGTGCACAGCAGGTTTGTTAACAGGAGGATGAATGAGGTTGTGGCCTTGTAGGCGTGTGCCTATCATGCCATGTCATGATTGAGCTCCCTCACTGGGGTCCTTGTAGACCTAGCTTGCCAATTTGGACCTAGGTCTGCAGCAGGTTCAATGAGAGGGCTAACTCACTGTGGTCCTCATCTGTCAATTTGGTCCTGGTCTGCCAATTTGGACCTGAGCTCATCCGTAAATGTAGACTTACGTCTACTGCAGGTTCAATGAGAGGGATGACTTACTCACTGTGTTCCTGCCGGTGGTCGGTCGACGTGGTTCTGGTATCTCAATGTGGTTCTGGTTTGCCAATGTAGACCTAGGTCCACAGCACAGGTCCATTTAGAGGGCCCACTCACTGTGGTCCTGATCCTTCAACCTGGTCCTGGTCTGTTAATGTGCACCTTATTGTTCCCTTGTTCCTCGTCACTCGGTTGTTCTGAAACCGCGGGCAGTACATTGACCCTCAGGTTCGATGCGGGGTCCAACTGTCTTGTGGAGTTGCTAGGATTCTTGGGAGCAGCAGCGAGGGAGATGTACCTTGGTCGATTACATAACAAAGCCAGCAAGGCAAGAAGGTGGATACAAGCACACACGATGGCTTGGTATGATTGTGTCTTTCTGACCGACAACTCGTCAATCGACAGCCGCGCCAAGACTTCTTCTCCAGTGCGCGTGCAAGAGAAATCTGTATGGTTGGGAGATGTGAGAGAAGAATGGCGACCGTCATCATCTGGAACCCCGGGCAAGATTGAACCTTTGTCATGATCGTGGTGCGAGCTCGAGTCTTCTTCCTGCTGTGAGGTTGATTCTTCTTTCCCCTCCGTTTGATCACTTGCTAACTGCAGCCGGCGATGACCGCCTTGGTCGACATCGGCACCATCACCGCCATCATGATCGTCGTCCCGCCGGTCAAGATGAGGGGTGTCAAGATCGGGCCAAGATGGGGAAGATGGCGCCTGGGATGGTTGTCCTAGTTCCCATTCGGTCCTATCTTCGGAGGGGGGTGAGGAGCGGAAGAAGGATGAATCACTCTCTCCGGGTTCGCAGGATATGTCCATGTCCTCAGCAAAAATGCCTTTGATCTCTTCTTTGGCCCCACGTGCTCGATCCATTGCAGCGGACATGTGGTCTTCTTGGCGAATTGGTACTTTGCTGGGCAGGACTGTACTGTCGGCATTAGGATCCTGATGATAATGATGCCGGTGGTGAGGAGGAGCACAAAGTGGAGCAGGATGACGATCATGATGATGATGACGAGGAGGAGGAAGAGGACGAGAAGACGGAGGAGGCACAGGATCTACTACACGTAGATTCTCGAGGTGCTTGGTCGTCGCTGACAATGACCCAGCAAAGATACTCTCCTGAGTAGCCCCTGGAGCAAGTGGAGAAGGAAGAGGAGGAGAAGATAGAGGAGGAGGAAAAGAAGATAGAGGAGGAGAAGGAGACGAAGATAGAGGAGGATAATCAGGATGTTCTTGTGGTCGAGGTCGAGGAGGAGGAGGAGAAGGAAGAGGGGGAGGAGGAGGAGCAGAGGGAGAAGGGTTGATAGCAGTTAGACTGGCAGGCTGTGGCGTGCAAGCTGATCTTTTCCAACAAGAGTGACTCTGCTGATTAGCAGTGAAACCCATTGATTTGACCGCCCTCTTTTGGCCTTTCATCGATCCAAAGGCCAACTGCTGCTGCGGTTGGAGTGGTTGGGAGAGCAATGTCCGGTTCCCATGTGGTGCGATGATTGGGGTGTGCATGTGCATTAAATTGTGTACCTTGTTAGCGGATTGGAGGGGTGCGAGGGGTGGTGGAGCTTGAGAAGGACTCGGAGACGGGCACTTGAACTTTAGACCCCGAAGTTGGTTGTTTGTGAATCCTGCGAAAGTCCATCTCACCGGTGAGCAGTTTGAAAACCATCGTACGGGCTTGGGTATACTCTCCAAGTTGAGGTAGAACCCACTGAAGAGGATGAAGGTCACCATAGTCATGGTCCCCATATCTAAGGCTATTCTCGGCGTAGGTGCGAGGGAGCTCACGAGAAGACCAACGCCGTACATCGTTGTGAACGTCAACGCCACAATGCCGATCAGCACAAAGAACGTTCCCGCGTTACGTTGAAATCCTACCATCCAGTATATGATCAACGAGGAGTTGATGACCGGAATCATTTTGAAAGGAATGTCTGCGAGGACCTTAGCTGGGTAATAGGCAGAGGCACTGTATAGTCCCGCGACGCGTTCTCTGTTAACGATAGCCAGCTCGAGAGGGAAAGTCGACAAAGCCTGCTGATTTGCGGAGAAGGAGATGGAGGTGCCAAAGAAGAAGAGCACCCCCATTCGGTCTTGAATGGACTTCTGGTCGGTCCCAAGGTTCCAAAACAGGGACCCCACCACCAGGCCCATCACCAACGACTGCACGGCCGCTATCCTCATGACCAGTCTGTCCCTAGAGGCCTGCCGCCAGGCTCGCTGGAGCAGGACGAGGAACTGCGTGGTCCAGGCACATGGAAGCCCCCCCCCCCCCCGTGGGCCAGCTGCTTGATCGGTTGACTTTGACTTGGTTGACGTCAACCATAATGAAGCGTTGAGCAAGTTGGGGCACCAGAGACTGCAACGGTTCGCGGGTTGGGAAACCAGAAACTGCTGCTGCTGCTGCTGCTTGTCGTCGTCGTCGCGGTCGTCGGAGCGTCGGGCTCCGGGCCCATCACGGCCGGCTGAGGCAGTCAGCAGAAAGGCAAGGGGTTTCACCTCCTTGCCGTGGACGAAGGCTCTGGTCAGCGCGTTGACCCTTTCTGTGTCCTCTAGCTCCCGGCTGTCATCCCGTCTGTCGATCGAAACCAGGTCCAGAAAGTGATCCGTTGGATTAAAGTGCGCCGGGCAGGGATGGCCCAGGCGAGCGAACCAGTCCAGGGCATCGGCAGCCTTGGCAAAATAGACCATCTTGCCTAAGGGGCTAAGTAACAACAAGTACTGGCAGATGTCGAAGATGCTGCTGCGAGGTTGATGAATGGTGCTGATCACCGTTCGATCCCTCGTCGAGAGATCCCGAAGGGTGGTCATGATGTTCAGGGCCTGGAAGCTGTCCAGACCGGTCGTTGGCTCGTCCAGGAAGACGATGGATGGGTCGGCCAACAACTCGACGGCGATACTCGTCCGCTTTCTCTCTCCCCCGCTCACCCCTCTCCTCATCTCGTTGCCTATCCACGTGTCAGCCGCTTTTGTCAACGACAGCTCCGCCAGGACCCCGTCAACGAACTGCTTCTTCGTCTCCTTAGACATAGTGCTGGGGAGTCGAAGTTGAGCGGCCAGGGTAATGGTTTCCCTCACAGAGAGGCAGCTGAAGAGGGCATCGTCCTGCATAACGTAAGCGCACTTGCGCTTGAACGCGGGGATCTCGGCCGTCGGCCTGCCATTACACAAGATCTGGCCGTCCAGCTGAGCTCTGCGCCCACTTGCGCAGCCGCTGCTGCGCGCCACTCTTCCCGCCAGTATGTTCAGCAAGCTCGTCTTTCCAGACCCGCTTGGCCCCATGATTGCCACGAAGGACCCAGCGGGGATATGCCCGCTGACACCCGTGAGCACATGCTTCTCCCTCTCCTTCTCCTTCTCCTTCTCCTTCTCCTCCTTCTTCTTCTTCTGCCATCGCGTCCATCCTGTAATTAGCTTGAGGTTGATGTCCAGGAAGGTGAGTGAGAGCCTGTTCGCCTTGCGAGTGGCGCTCCCCGCCTGGGCGTCGCTCAGCGTCATTAGCTCCTGGAAAGACGCGCGATGCTGACGTGTCCGGTCGGGATCCCGACTGTCTCCCGAGGCTAAGGCTCCCCCCCCCCCCCTTCCTCCTCCTCCCCCTCCTCCTCCCATCCTGCTGTCGGTGCTGCAATTACGTAGTACCTTCTTGATGAGGTTATTGAGGCTGATCTTGAGGTCAGTGAGGTTGATGATGATGGACGAAGAATGTGAGAGAGATGTACTACACTAATTACTACTTAGCTTGTTCGCCGTGCGGCGGCGCGTGGAGGCGCTCCCCGCCTTGATGGCGTCGGTGTCCACGTCAGCAACTCCTGACAAAAAGATGAGCGATGACGTGTTAGGTCGCCATCCCGATCGTCTACAACAACAACAACAACGCGGCCGGCCTCGACAGATCCTCCTGAGCATCATCGGAATCGGATATCGTCGTCACAATTTTTTTTATTTTTTTTTATTTTAATGCAATCTTTGTCATTATCACCCCGTGGTTGCAAAATATTGTTCTTTCACCCTCAGCAGAACGTGACCCGGCTGCTTCCGAAGCCATCAGGGAAGGACCAGCACACACAGAGAGAGAGAGAGAGAGAGAGAGAGAGAGAGAGAGAGAGACAAGAAGGGAGGGGGAGGGAGAGGGAGGGAGGGAGAGAGAGAGGGAGGGACTGA